TCTCTCTCTCTCTCTCTCTCTCTCTCTCTTTCTCTCTCAAAGCATCTGACCATTATCCGCATGGGTGTAATTAATCAATTTTTTCAAATCTAAACAATTGCATCTTTTTTCATGGTAGCAAATGTATGTATGTGTTCTCCGGCGCGATAATTCTTTCATTTTCTCATTTATTTTAAATGAAAAATTGAAAATCGTGAAATTGATATAAATTTGAATTTAAAATTGATTTCAAAGTTAATATTTTATTGCAAACAATTTCTTCTAATGTTTTTAGAGCAAAAATATTAGTCATAACTGTTCTCTACAAAATTTTCAAAATCTTAAAATTTATTCTAATCAATTAAATCTAAAAATCAAAACATAAATAAGATCCTTTCAAATTATTTATTAAAATAAAGCGAAGAAATCTTCAATTTTATCAAAATAAATAATTTTAAAAGTAATAGTTGTAAGTGAATACGTAATGAAAGACTCAAAAAATTAAAAAATCAATAAAAAGAATTAATTTATAAGCAATTTTCATTTTTCATTTTGTGTTTATCGCTATCAAACAAAAAATTTAAATTGTATTTTAAAGTTAAATGAATCATAACATACACAATATTCATTTATTATTATTATCATTATCATTATTGTTATCATTATCATTATCATTAATATCATTGTCATTATCACTATTATCATTATCACTATCATTATTATTATTATTAATAGTATTATTATTATGATAATTATTATTAGTGTTATTATTATCACAGCTAGATATATTATTTCTTTTTGCATCATAATTTGCAAATTTTATTGCTTAAATTCTGAATTAGAATTTCAAATGGTGATAGATCAATATTGAATTAGATAGAATTTGAATAGTCACTGCTTGATAATAGTATGAATTACCCTTTTCCACATATATCATCATTGCTACTATTTTCAAAATTTTCTATTATATTCAGATTATATTCATTTTATTCAGAAGATTTAGAAAATTATATTCATTTTATTCATATTATATTCAGAAGAATTGAAAGAATAAAGTACTAACAAGAATAAGTGAGAATACTTATATAATCATATGAAATCAAGTACATAACATTTCATTATTATGCTAAGCATTAATTAAAATTAATCTAATAATTGATATATCTCAACTTACTTCATATCTTAAAATGCATCGTTTTCATTTCCGATATATTTAATATTCTCATTTAAAGCATGAGAGGAAAAGGATTATAAGCATCTGTATCTCATATATCTCTCTTTCCGGTACATGTATGGATGAATCCAGAAAAGAGGCTTATAAAAATATTCGGAACTCAGTTTAAGACTGACTACATTATTAAAAGTACTTCAATAACAGATATCTCTATCATTTTAGTAATTTATTTTAACCATTCATACACACATTATTACACCTACTTAGGTTTGTTTACATGTGAATTTCATACAGAGTAATAAACAATAATCTGATACATACGGTAATAATAACCTATTTTACTGAATTGAATTTTGGATTATGTGAAAGATTGAATAATAATTATTTAGTATTTATTCTATTCTAACTTTTTTTTTTTAAATCCTCCTTCATTTTAAAAT